GGGATTCTGAAACGAAAGCTAATAATTCAAATTTGTCTGTCTGCTATTCATGGCATTCCTAATAAGCCTAATTCAAAAGATTTATAAGTATGATATCTTCTGAGGAATAGCATCAGAAACTCGGTGGTGTAATGGTATAAGACGGCAGATATAGACTGGAAGGTTGGGGATCGATTCGTGAGGCAGTCACGTATCAAAGAACTTTTTTTCACTAGTTTAATTCTATACTAAATTGATTTATATTTCTAATATTTTGATTATTATTTGCCAGTAATCGTTTGAAAGRTAGAAGAAACTGGAAACGAGTTAGAAGTAACTGGATACAAGGTAGATGTAGCTGGAAACAAAGTAGAATTAACTGGAAACAAAGTAGGAATACTTCCTCTGGTTTCCAGTTACTGCATGTGTTACAAATTACAACCAGASATTGGCTGGATACCTYATGRATAATTAATGAGTATACATGAGAAGATACATAAAACATGACATGGTAAGTGATTTCATCTTCATGCGTTTAAAATGTCTTTTTAGATTTTCAGCACTAAAGAATGAAATCCATATCTCTGAGTAAGCATGTAATTATTATTATAAAAACTGACAAACCTTGAGTTTCTTGATTGCTTCTACACACATACTGTCCCCTCGAGGACCATCTACTTCTGCTACGCCAAGCAACTAAAAATAAATGTATTATAGCATGAATATATTTCTATGTTTATCATATACATAATAGCACCACTTGACGTCAAAATGTAAATTTGAAAAGGGATCCTTTACATGAGCAGGATTATACAGAAGAAAAGAAGTCAGCTCCTTGTCCAGCCATGGATTTAGATGAAATCAAACAATAGAAATGGTTGAAGGAAGCCTTATAGTGTATATGACTTATCACACAGAGAAGTGATTCTTATTTCAGGTCACATGGTCATGTAATCTGGAAAATCTTCAGCACTATCTCTCTGAAATTTAGGGTCAAGTCTTTAGCACTTTTTATCGCTCTCTGAAATCATTAGCAACTTTCAGAGATTTTAACATCCATAAAAGGTGTCCAGACATGGTATAATTCAGAAGTGAAGTGAGCCGCACAAGTGTCTGCTAATGTTGGGCTAATTTTAAGTCTCAGATTTTCAAAAGGAGTAGTGTCTTGTATTAAGATTTCTAATAGCAAATTTTGATATAAAAACAGTGCTTAAAATAATTTTTAAATGAAACAACCAATTTTCACTTGACTGTTAGTAAAACCACAAAGAAAGTAATCAACTAACATAGATAAAACAAATATGTGTGGTAAAAAGTTCTCTCAAAGAGTAATGGTGATAGATATTCTGTGATATAGACAGACAGCAGTGTAGGTGGAAAGATTATATTGTCATCTAAATGTTACGTTATCACGTCTATTTGAAGCAGATGATACTTTATAAAACAAAACTTTTAGAAGAGAATGAYTGATTATTAGAAAAGAAAGTTCTAGACAGAATTATACTCAATTAATACCAAGGATGAATTTCATACTATTATAGTGATAGAAAAAACTAGACAAATCCTAACATCAAACTTCAACATTTTATACAACATAATGAAGACCATTTGATATAATGTTTTTTTTTTTGGAAAATCCCAAAGAGATCCTAATTAGATCAAGAAATTCAATTAGTAAAGACAAGCAATTTGATACATTTGTTTTCATTATAAACTCAACGCTTGTTACTGTGATAATTAAACAAGTTGTTTTGCAGTGAAATCAAAATCACAGTTCAAAATCAAAACTCTCARTAAAGGMACTCTGACAAAATGACTCGAATACAACACGATTTCTTCGTGATTGTACGAATTTGATAAGATTAAGATAAGAAAACAAAACTGATCGAAAGGCTTACTTTGCATTTGAAGTTGACACCATCACCTCGAAATTTGTCTACTATAACATCCCCTTCCTTTGCGCCTAAGAAAAATAACAACTCATTGAATTAAAACTACAGAACTATTGATGTTTAATACACAATTCAAATCTATTGTTCTGAGATATTTCACAAACTAGAACGGCCTGTGGCTAATTATAATCGAAAGTAACACGTTTTGAATACACACATACTTCTGCACAGCTTTGTTATAGAAGTGCTTGGGGCTGAGCTGGAGTTATCTCTTTTATTCTATGAAAGATAATTTCACTGAGAGTTTACCTTTAGTAGATTTAGAGCTCTTGGATGAGTGGGCTTTTCTGCTCTTCCCTTTGGACTGTTTGTCACTGGCAGGAGACGACATTTTGTATGAAATGATTGCAAACCTCTGTTTTACGACAAACGGCTCCCCTCGATTGCAGTGCTACACAATTATACTTATAATATACTTCATTTAGACAGCACTATACAGGAAAAGAAGGCCATTTTGAATGAAAACAACCATCTTCAACACAGAAGCATGTAGAGCACGAAGATTGAGTTACAGTCCTCCAACTCCGAGATTGCTTGTTTTAGTGCAAGACATTAGCTTTAGGGAGGGGAGGGTTAATTCATATTTTTAATTCATCTTTATATAGTTAAATTAGATTTAAAAAGATGACATGTAACTCATTTAATCTACTATAAAAGTAATCTTTTTTCAGAAATATATGATATTACTGAATATTTAGAATTTTACTTCTGAAAATATTCTCGCCCAGTTTCTTTACATGCCCCCTCCCCTGAGGAATRRTCAAATTGAGCAGAAAATCGAGCAGCGGTCTCYCCTATGAGAACGCCTTTCGTTCCAAAATGGCGTCTGGCGGGAAGATTGATATTTCTCAATTTCGGAATTTAATCCGCCATTATTTAGACAACCACCAGTATAATACAGCGTTGTTCTGGGCAGATAAAGCTGTTTCTCTGTCAAAAGGCGAAGTTCAAGATGTTTACTGGTTTKCGCAAACACTTTTTCTTACTGGGCAATTCCAACGGGCATGTCATGCTCTAAAAAGCCGAGGATTTGTGGACACTAGTCTTGCGTGCCGTTACCTTGCTGCCAAGTGTCACGCGGAATGCAAGCAATGGCAGGATGCGTTGGATTTGCTTGACACAGAAGGAAAAGATGTTGTCGAGAAAATGTCTGTGTCTTTCAATGACAGTTTTGGGAGTTCAAGCAAGCTTGAAAGCGCAGTTTGTTTGTTAAAAGGGTCCGTCTACGAGGCTATGGATAATAGAAGCCTTGCTACTGAATGCTACAAAGAGGCTTTGAAAATCGATGTTCACTGCTTTGAAGCTTTTGATCTGTTAATTTCYCATCATATGTTAACTGACAAAGAGGAGAAGGAGTTRTTGGAATCACTTCCATTCATGGAGCAGTGCACCCCAGATGAAGCTGATCTCCTGAAATTCCTTTATGACAGCCGACTTCAGAAGTACAGCAAACCAGAGGACCCCAAGCTTCCAGCAAACTTAGATGTACTCAATGATAACCTTGATATTGTTGTCAATATGGCTGAACGACATTTCTATAATTGCAGTTTCTCTCTTAGTCATAAGTTGACCAGYGCTGTCCTCAACACTGATCCCTACCATGAAGCATGCCTCCCAATACACATTTCCTGTCTGGTGGAGCTAAAGAAGTCAAACAATCTCTTCTATTTTGCACACAAGCTAGTTGATAATTACCCACAGAAAGCAGTTTCTTGGTATGCTGTTGGGTGTTATTACTACCTCATTGAAAAATACGAGCAAGCAAGGCGGTACTTCAGCAAAGTCACATCAATTGACCGAATGTTTGGTCAGGCCTGGTTGGGATTTGGTCACTCTTTTGCAGCAGAAGGTGAGCATGACCAAGCCATGGCTGCATACTTTACAGCTTCTAAACTTATGCCAAAGTGCCACCTACCCTTACTATACATTGGCTTGGAATATGGTAAGACTAACAAYATGAAGCTAGCTGAGAGGTTCTTCAGCCAGGCACTCTCACTCTCTCCTAATGATCCATTTGTATTACAAGAAATGGGTGTCATAGAGTATCAAAATGGGGATTACACAAAAGCAGAAAAGAATTTCCAGAGTGCTCTTCAGAAGGCTCAAGTTATTAGTGGAGAAGTCTTATCAGAAACTTGGGAGACACTTCTCAGTAAYTTAGGACATACATATCGCAAGTTAGGAAAGTATGATAAAGCCATGGATTGCTACAGACAGGCACTGGTGTTAGTACCAAACAAAGCCTCTACATTCTCTGCGATTGGTTTTATACACAGTCTACAAGGAAACCATTATGAAGCAATTGATTATTTCCATAAGGCACTTGGTCTCCAGAGAGAAGACACATTTAGTGTCCACATGCTTGGACAGACACTRCAGCAGATGTCAGTTGAATCACAACCAGAGATTCCTGCAACAGAGCTGGAGGAAATCAGTATGGAGATGGACAAAGGTTCTGGKGATGATGAAGGATGAAGAAAAATCACAAAACATCTACAGATATAACTGCATGCAAAGTTGCTTCATTATTCAAGTCATTACAAACCAAAATCCTTTTTCTAAATTACYAAATTGCAAAGGTCATAATAGCAAATATAGCTGTTTACCAGATTACAGTGTCTAAGAGCCATTGAAAGCCAAAATATAGTTTTTTTTTATGCCAAGCTGACACTAAATTTGACTGTGCTTTTTTGGCTAGGATATGTACAGTAGTTATTCAGTTCACTAGGATTTCTTTGTGGTCATCCAACCAAGAGAGTGCTAATATTTCAGTTATGAAATGGCTTTAATTAAATGGTATCAAACTTGCTTATTTTCTAATATACAACATGTACGTATACTCATTATATAGATAACAGATTCCATAATTTGGAAAAAAAGGCTTTTGTGATAAACTGACATGAGTACTCTATAGGGTCCCTGGTATACATATGTCTTTGGCTGAGAAAAAGGGAGTTTCTCCTCTCAGTTTCTTTACCTTAGCATGAGAATGTATCAAATCATCTCCATCTCTAGAYAGTTTTAAATCTCAACTTATAAAACATTTTTATTATGAACAATAATTAGTGGTGTTTTTTGTTTGTTTGTTTTGGCACCATCTCAAGTTATCAGTCAAACACAATGAGATTTTATAGAGTCAACACACCAAACTGTAACATGAAGTAGTGATAAAATGATAAATCATTTTGAATTTTTCTCTTTTATTGGCAAAACTGGAACATGCAGTAGGATCAGTCTTATTTCTGTTATAGTGTGTAAAACTATAGAATGCATGGCATGAAGGATTGTGATTTTTTATTTCTTTGTGACTTTTCATTAAACTAAAAGAGCTGTTTTGTCAATAATTTTATACAGCAGAAATCATAGCAAAAGTTGACAAAAAATCTTGCAGCATGGTCACAGCACAGGTTTTTTTCTTACACTTTTGCAAAATGTTCTTTTGGACACTAAATAGTACAATAATTTCTGCAATCATTTTGATAGGACAAAGTTTTATATGAGTGTGACATACAAAAAAGACAGAAAAACATGAAATAAAAGAGTATGAAAACCAGGATATATAATCAAACTAAATACTAACTAATAGCAGCTATTTAGAGACAGTTTGTTGGTCTTTGTTAGTATTAATGAACCAGAGCAATGAAGATGAATCCACATGGGACCATTTTTCATTCATCTTTAGTGCATTCTGGTTCATTGATACTGACAATTTGTCTCTAAATAGCCACTATTTGTTAGTATTTAGTTTGATTTTATTTCATGGTTGCTCTAGATGTTTGGTACACTTAATTGTTTTTCACAATTATACTTGTACCTCATAAAGTCTATATCACAAATTATGGGATATCAATGCTATTTTTTGAAGTTGCCTAGTGCTATACAAAAAAAAAAAGATATTGGCAATGATATCTCGTAATATATTTTTTTATATATACTTGAAAWATCAGCTAAAAAGATCATAACTTCTGCATATTGCTGTAAATTCTATTCTATATTTGCAGACATTTTAGTCACTTTCAAACATGGTCATGGATTTATATTATTGACTTAGAATAAACCAGTGCATYCAAGGATGGTTAAGATGAGAGTGGTATAAAAAATACTTTTTATACACCCGAGGTWTTGTGTTCTCCGCACTTGACATCAAATTTATTCTTTTGAATTCCTTTAGTGTATTGTAAAAATTTCAAAAGAATACAAAATTTGATGCCAAGTGCAGAGAACACAATACTTCAGGACTTATTAAAAGGGTGTATAACAGGCTTATAATTTGAATGATTCAGCGAATGATACATTGTATAGCTTCTACAATCTGATCCCCAAAGCTTTTACCTTTTGAGGAGTTACACCATATACTTGGAAATTCAAATGAAATTTGTGTAGTTACCTGAGAATAATTTGTCCTGTCAAAATATTGAAATCATTCAACTATTTAAACAATGGCTGAAATTTTATTGGATTATTACAACTGGATTGCAAAATAGTAGGGTACGGTATTGTTGATGAGAAATGCTCAAAATACAATAAAATGAATAGAAAGGTAATTTTTTATTGAGATATATGCTATCCCACTCTACCACTGCAAGTTGGAATTTGATCCCAGAACATGGTGACTTTCCCTTTCCCATGATTCTCTGATTTCCTGCAACAAACCAAAGTCAATTTGTCCTGAAATGTACTTTTAAAATTCAGTGCTAAACTCTTACTAATTTACACCCAGAAAAAGTTACAAGTCCATGAATTCTATTGCTTATTTGATATTCCTAACGATTCTTCGACAATGTGCCGTCTTCATTTCTTGCAATGCACTCTCCAGAGCTGCAGTCATGTGAACCAAATTAACAGGATCAACTTGAAGAACTTCAGACGACTTGTTGTCGCCCTCCTTGGTGTGCAGYTTCATTAAAACTACTGGGTTTGTTTGATGATGCAAAGATCTGCTTGCTAACTCAMTGTCAAATCGCCACTCAAGATTGTGATAATGTGGTACTGTCACAGCCATCTCGGACAAAATGTTACGAATTTCGTTTCTATTTTGGAGATAAACTTGAAGCAAGGATTTGTTGACTTCTTCAGAAAATCCAAGCGTCATTACTGAGTCTTGGAAGTCTATTTCTCCTATCAAAAGTCTTGARCATTCTGTAAAAAGATTCATTAATCCATTAATGCCATTTTTCACTGTCTCGACTTCAGCTCCTAATCTTTGTGCTGCAGCTTGGAATATCTTGGGATTCGGTGGGCATTTCAATATAAAATCCAAAGAAATTCTCACAAACTCAAAAACTACATCYGGTTCAAGAGTTGTGAGGAATTTGAGGTGATCTTTCTGTTCCTGGGACAATATCAAAAGCATTTTTGAACAGAAGGACAAAGACCATCCAAAGTTTGATTTCCTGAGCTCCTCCTTCGATCATACGTGTGTGGAGGACTGGGCCCACCGTGTTTATGTAACCTCGCCTTCGCAAAGTAAAATGGCGGACGAACTTGAGTAAAAGTGTTCCCTTGATCATTTTCACAATGAATCTTATGAAAGGCGTCACTAAAGCTTTTCACAGTCTTTCTGTAGAGGCAAGAGAATTATATTTGACTTCTGAAGTCCCAATATTATCATCACCACCAAGTGCTTTAGAGTTTTATCGAGGTTGGGTAACTCCAAATCTTCCCGTCGTCATCAAGAACAATCTCAATACCTGGCCAGCACTGCACCTATGGAACTCAGAATATTTTMGAGAGAAAATAGGAGACAAGCAAGTCACAGTAGCAGTTACTCCAAACGGTTATGCTGATGVAGTTGTCGGGGAATATTTTGTTATGGCACAGGAAAGATCAATGAAAATGTCGCACTTTTTAGACATTCTTGACCATAAAATCGAAGAAAAGGGGATTTTTTATATCCAAAAACAAAATTCAAATTTTACTGAAGAGTTAAGTGAGATTATTCAAGATGCAGCTTTGGATATTCCTTGGGCGACGGAGGCATTTGACAAAGCTCCTGATGCAGTGAATTTTTGGATGGGAGATGGTCGTGCAGTAACGTCAATGCATAAAGACCATTATGAAAACCTATACTGTGTTGTATCAGGGAGTAAGACATTCACTCTGATTCCCCCAACTGACCTGCCTTATGTTACATATGGTTTATACAAACCAGCAAAATACCACCTCAATTCAGTAGGAGAGTTTGAGATTGAAGAATTACAAAAAAGTGACTTAAACATTGATGCAAATGGTCAAGAAATTTCTTGTGATACTGTCAAAGAGGAGGATGATAATAATGATAATCAACACTTTACTGACTCTGAAATCAGTGAAAATGATGCAAATGATGCCACAGTCAGTGATGATAACAACCTAGTGCCATGGGTGTCGATTGATCCTTTAGAACCAGACTATCAGCTCTACCCAGACTATGCTAGAGCACAACCAATAACCTGCACGGTCAAAGCAGGTGAAACCCTTTACCTTCCATCGCTATGGTTGCATCATGTTCAACAAAGCCACAAGTGCATTGCTGTTAATTTTTGGTACGACATGGAGTATGATGTCAAGTATGCCTATTATAAGTTTTTGGAGAAGTTGTCTAAGCTGGTAAAAGATTAGTGATTTGCAAATCAAATGAGAAAGAGAGTGCATAGAAACAAGACAGGAAGTTGCAATGATATTTGCTCACAACAACAAAAACTAATAATAATATAAAAATGTTGACATAGTAAGAGGTTGAGATGTCTGTGGTTCTTCAGGACAAACTTGTTTTCACACTCAATGATGACTTCAAATGATGTTCTACTTCAGTTACTGATTTAATCCAAATTTGTCCTATTTTGATTTTTTGCAATGTCTCCTTCAGTTACCTGCCCCATCTTAAAAGGTAGTTGTGCCTTTACGTCGTAGCGAGACAACCGTTGAGYGTGCAATGATAGATACCTGTGAACTGTCTGTAGGTGTGAAAGATTTCATGCTCAACAGTCGCCTCTCTTCGATGCAAAGGTACTGCTACCTTTCAAGATGGCGCAGGTAACCGGGAAGGAGACTATTAACAGTTGGGAAAATCCTTATTTTTTCCACAGGAAACCCAAAATATATAATAACTGAAATATCCAGGTGCCTTCTAAGGACACTATAATATCACTATATGCAAACTTTTAGTTAATTTTTGTTTCATTACAACTTACTTTATAAATCTGTAAAATTGCACAAAATGAAAGTAGCACCAATTTGAATAAAGTCCAAGTAAAAGCTAAAAACTGTGAAATAGATATTA